CGCTCTTCAATAGTCCATTAAGCAAAGCCGTCCTACTATCAAATAGAATCTTAAATTTTCCCAAACGAACAGGTTGATCAGCCTTCGTTAAATCAAGAGAGACTGATTCAAAAAATGTTGCAATTAGAAATGACCGTCTCGGTCTTTGAGGTCGTAGGGGATTATGATTATACTCCAGCGGTTGTCACCAATCTATGTATCTCATCCTAGTGAATTCTGACACCTGGGCAAGTGAACTACAGGTTTATTGAGGTCAGTGTGACTCCGAATTATTTTTTTCATTTATCACAGCGAGTTGCTTGTTCACGTAAAATGGCTTAGGAACTGTCACCAGTGGGAGGTGAATGCCGACCTTTCTAACGCCGTAGCGCTTGCTATAACGAGGAAGGCTCAATTCCATCTCAACAGCTTTTTTCCACTCTCCTCCACACCCCATCTGTCTATAAATGGAGAACTATAGCCGGAAGAGGGATATACGGGTTGGCCACAAATTACGGAAACTAGAGCACCGAACACAATTCTAAAATTAAACGGATGAGAGTGTAGCTTTTGCGCACTTGGTTCGGGTCCACTGATTCCACTGAGTCCACTCATTTCTCGCTGTGGGGTCCACTGATGATCAGAGGTGACCCTGAGGTTTCCGCAGCGAAAAATGTTCGCGCTGCGAAACGCGAGAAATTCGCTTTCTGTCCTTGTGAACCACACCCCTTGGTTCTATTAACACGATGTTCATTCTTTAATTTCACAGCTCAAAATTTATTTAGTTCAGATTGTTCAAGCCTTCAGCTCTTCATGAAATAACGTCTCGCTTGAACCTGCAGTAACTGCCGTTGCGAAGACCAACCGTCTAATGGTAAGTGCCAGAAACGATTGGATGAAAGTTCTTTTTTGAATAGATTGGGCAGGTTTATTGTTAAATCCCTGATGGAAACTTAAACATGGACCTCCATCGAAAAACGAGTTTTTACACTAGATGCGATATAAATAAAAGAAATAAGTAAATAAACAAATGCGATACCGACTTCCACACGTTTGGGATAACATCTATGTCTCGAATTGCTGCAATAAATTTCAAAGCTAACCATAAACATGTGGAAGTCGGCAGATAACGTTGGATCGTTGCTTTTCCAAAGGCATCCGAAGTGAACACGTTTAACTCCGACGGAGCGTGTTCCGCTGTGTTGTGCATGCATAGCGACCCAGCGGAGGATACGCCGCACGGCTGTCGGCCTATATATAATGGGCGCTCTGATCACGCTGTGGCGGCGCTTGCTTTCGAGTCTAGATTGATCGCGTTTCATTCTCGCTGAACTTTAGACATTGTCGCTCCTCCCGTGGCCCTCCCCGTGAGGCTGCCCGGTCGAACGGAGCAGAGCTGCTACAAATTACCTAGCAAAACACTAGTAACTTGCACAAAACTGATTCACTGAGCGCTGCCAATTGGGGCGCAAGCCCGCTTTTTGCTTTGCTATGTTTACTGCATTGACTCACACACACCACGAGACACATTGAGCAGGGGAGAAAGGTTCCAAGCGACTTCTTTGGATTAACAATAACGGATGATGAAAAGAATGAGAAAACGTTTATCCGCTCAGCAGCTGAAGCAAGGCAGAACGCTTCTCTAAAGTGAATAAGGAACCTATACTGAGCAGAAATAAACATGACAACCTCTGCTGGTACTGTACTGGCTCACAGAAACTTCGAAACTTTCCGAAACACTAACAGAATGCATGGAATGGTGAGAAGCACATAGTCTTTGCGGCAATTTGTTTCACTAGCAAATTAGGTAGAAGGAGAATTTTGAACCCTTCGGGTGAGGACCCAAGTGTTCATGAGATGAAAACACCAATCTGCAGTGGCTCAGAAACACATGTTTCTGATTTATACTTTTAACATTTCAAGAAGTTACAGCCACGCTCAGTTCACCTTTCTACTGAGATACAGAAGGAGACTAGAGTGACTTTAAACGAAAGCGAAGGTGGCGTGGAAAAGTAAGTCAGAGGTAAAGTAAAAGTAATCATCTTCAGGACTTAGCTCTTATAGGCTCCACCAGCTCTCATCTCCATTCCATGCTTGGGTAAGGTCGGCATGAAATTCGGTGACAAAACTTCTCGGCTCGCATCATCAAGTCTTCAGTATGAGCTTAGGATGCAAGCGTCGGTCTCTTAAAAGTAGAGATCGCCATCTCAACCCCCCCCTCACTTTTAGCAGCCCCTTTGGGCCGTGAAATTTTACCATCCTCCCTAAGAAGTCCTACTTGCCGCCGCCGTTCTGAGGACTATTCAGGAGCGGGGGAGTGAGGCTGATTTTTTTACTGTCATTGACACATGACCTACCCATGAGAAGCTGACAAGGCTCCGTCGTGGGGAATAGATAGGCTCCAGGTTTTTAGCCACGCTATCTCGGTGTGAATAGTGAGGTATTGTTTTTGGAGACGGCACTGAAGCGCCTAGTAAGTTCATTGTACTTTCCTATCAGTTAAATGGAAGCCGTTGACGGTGCCGATATGCAGGACACCAGCCGCACAAACAGAAACGCATGGATACGACTTTTGAGTGGACACAGCTGGTACCAATTGAAACAGCGTTATAAAAACTATGAGTTCATCCTCTTAATTGAGGGGGTGACTCCAGTACATGGAAATTCTTGATCAGTTACTTACCACCTATTCGCCACCTCGGGTCGCGCCACGTCGCCACCAACCGGCTACAGATCTCTCAGTGAGAATTGTACTCAGTGAAAAAGATGAGAGACCGAGACCGAAAGAGCGGACCGACAATAGCTAATATTTTTCAAATTCCAGGTAATTCGATCTGGTATTGATCATTTACTCAGTAACAGTACATAAGGCATTTATTTGGAATCAAAATCAATACCGGAGGACTTCTGATGAAGCCGAACGATCTATACAACACCGGAACTGGACGCGAATACCACGAAAGATTGGGACCTGCACATATAATACATAAATAAATACTACACAATGACGTCATCATCAGATTAGGAACAGCGAACAAGCATCAGTGATATCGAGAGCTCAGTAGCATAATCAGCAGAAGAACTAATAGTTGACAAGAGCTGAGGTGTAAATTTTGTAGATCAATGCATACGAAATTACTGAAAATCAATAAATCAATCAATGGGACGTAACGTAAGCTGCAGGTGTAATTCGCCATTGACCAGAAGAGGGGAGTCTTCCGTGAGCAGGTCGTTAATTTCCACCTTCCTATCGATGTCCAGCTCGCTCGAGTACCTGAAGGTTACGTTGATGTCAGTGGCAGTCAGCGGTTTTCGGGAAATAGTTTTGGAATTCTAGTCTGACGCAGATTTTTGATTGATGCTAGAATGTGCGCCGGGATGAGTGGAATCTGGCCAGCTCTGAATGGCTGCGGTAGAATGTGCCATGCAGTCGACTTCCAGTGGAATTTGCGAGCGTGTTTGAATGTGCACTAGGCTTATACAGTGATTTCAAAGGCTGGAATGTTTACGGCACACTGTAATATCTCCACCAACATTTAGTGGTGCTAGTGAATCGGTGCTGGCCTTGTTCACTGTACTTAATGGTGACGTCTCTTCTTACTGACCTACATGCCTCCACCAAGGTTTATTAAATTCGAAAGATTTAAAAAAATCCAACCTCGTCTTAGTGAAGTTCTTCTTGCTAGAGAATGATCGTAGTACTCGCTTCTCATCCACAATCGACAGCATGTATTCGATCGACCTGCTAAGAGTCGTAATAAAAGGCGTGCTTTGATACACAGTAATTACATTTCAATAATTCGATTGCTGAACTAAAGTGGATTTAGAACTATTTGCAGTCCGTTCCAGGGTATGTCGGACTTTTAGTGGCGCCCACGGCTAAGCAGAGCATGCGGCGGCGCGTGGCGCTGCGCGCGCTGCCTGTGTTTGCCCCGACAAATATACTGACTCAGAACCTTGGCTGGTCGATATCCTCTGATATGAGATAAGCTTTGAGCACATCATCGACACTGTTAGAGTAGGAAGAGCCGCCAAGCTTCAAGGTCCATTGCCATGTTTGAAGGGGGAACGTGCAGGATCGTGTGCGAATCTGAAACCATCAGTTCAACAGGTATTCGATTCATAGACAACGAAAAGTCAGCGGTCTTTATGAAGACAGCGGTGTCACAACTACGATATCTGGAGACCTTAGCCTTCATTGAAGCGGTAGTGATCTTCAGTCCTTCAACATTATGTACTCACGTACCTGAAACGAATGATCAACGCCTCTCTGATAAAGCTGGCTTGGGCGTTGGAAGATCCGATATTCGGCTTATCCGGCATCTGGTGCCCGTATAATTCCGAAAATAAATTGTGTTGTAGAACAACTCCGAAATAAAACACAGGCAAGTGATCGTTTTCGCTTTTGGAAGGCGGGGTCGCGACTAAGGTCGTAACCGAGTCCCTAAGCGCAGAGATCGTAGCACTTATGCGCCGCAGAGACGCTAATGCCTTCTACGGATCGCTGCGACTCGCGCAGACGCGATGTCTGTGCCCTCTCTTACAGCTCGCCCTTTCGGGTTTTCTGTCTCCTTGCAGCACTGACGTCGCCCCGTCGCTAGCGTTCAACCTTGAACAAGGAAGGGGAGTTCTCAGTGCTTCCTATGGCTCTTCTATTTTTCGCCATTAGCGGCCCACTTCGTACCTCTTCCATCCCCGAGCGAAATTACGCACAAATTCGTTGTCCACCCGTGCTTCAGAGGAATACAGACCGTCGCTTCATGGGATTTCGCCTTGCCGGCGGTCTATTTATCTGGTCTCAAACCTTCTCCACTATGTGATAGTTAGAAACATCTCAAAGATGGCAGGTAACCACCTAGGGACCGCTTCTCCTGAATTGATGTCACACACGTCTGTACCACGCCTGCTCGCCCTCCTCGTCCTTTCCTAGCCGTTTAGAAATGCCAAGACTAGTCTGACTGTGATGAAAACTCTCAGATTTCAGGGTTCCAATTCTCTTTAGTCGAGGAAACGGTCAATGTGTTTCCACATACTTTTTAGCGGTCCTAATAGCAGACACTGCAGGCAAATGGAAAGTTTAGCAGCTCCACGATCACTTTTCAGTCAGTCACATTGTAGCTTTCATTAACTGTTCCTCCAATCTCTTTTTCCAGGTTAACTCCCGAGAGCGTTCCCATTTTTCAGATACCACATTCAAAAAAAAAGCTTGGAATTCGTTGCGCAAAAGCCAACCAAACATATAGCGGATCCAAATCTGGGGTCTAGCGATTACTATTTTTAACGACATTGTGAAAGTTCTGCCCAAGTCGCCCTCCACAAAAAAAAAAATCAATTAGCGGATAGTCTGCGATTCCAAAACATCGCTAGTGAATTGAAAACCAGCTCTCTCTCATGTACAAAAAGCCCCTGCGAATTGTTAGACCCTCAAAAAAAAAACAATCAATAAACAAATATCAAAAAGGCAATCACATCAACAAATATCAACAACAATAGCTCATGACTTACTTGCAATTGACACGACTCGAAAGAGGAAGAGCTTGGAACTTGTAGGCTAGCAAAATCTGCGGATGGAAAAGCTTCGGATAGCATTCGGCAAACTGAGAACGTTCCACGTGAGTTAATTCATCGGCAGTCATGAATGGAAATCTGCAAACAATACAAAGTAGTTACTTTTCAAGTCAAATCAAAGGTTGTGTAAGGGGACGCTTCAATTTGGAGTCAGACGAACTTTGGGTCGGCAAAGTGGATCGACTAGAATCGGACCTTTTAAGCTTTTTAAATCCTTCCCTTCAGGAATCGGTGTTTCGACCGAACTTGTGTGCATGGAGCTGAAGCGAAAACAGCGCTGTGTAGCAAATGTGGCAATTTTTGCTTTCAGATCTTTGTTGGCTCAATTTCGCAATAGTCCATTTCGAATGGAATTCCTTGATCCCTTATTTTCTCCGATTCTCAGCCCTCCAGCTCTCCCGATGTAGTTTGGTTCAACGTGAGTTGATTGATTCGGTTGACCGCCCTTGCTAGATCACTCTATGACCCGACCTAGGAAGCGCTCGATTATCACCTATGCCTGGACACCCATGTAACTTATCCATCGATCGTCGGCACACATCTGGGCAAATCTGGGAGCCATGGAAGCCTATTGAACCCTTCACAATACCATCGCTTCTTAACAGCAACGTTTCACTGCCGAACGCTCGGAGCATAAGGTGAGCGACTCATGTGTTTTGTCACCATTCCAATTGAAGCCAATCTGTGTTCGTAACGGCTGTTCGTAGTAGAGCCTCTTATGACCGCAGTATGACTCTTGATGAGCAACAGCCATCTGATTCCAGATGATCGCAAGTTCGCAAAAACTTATGTGGTCTCCACACCCTTCTGAACTAACCCACCGTGGCTTGCGTGAGGTACCATAGCGCCGAGCAGGGCATCAAATACGTCCGGAACTGAAGATTTCAGGTACGTGTATCCTACGGGTGTAATTCGTTTTTGTTTCATTTGGACAAAGTTTTGACTGCAAAACTAGTCCAGAAACGGGGAGGGAGAGGAGATCCTTGGGTACGGTAGACCTAAGGATCTCCTCTCCCTCCCCGTCATGTACACAAGGACATCACGAAATGCTACGAGTATCTAAAGGTAAGTACTATTGAGTCATATGGGATGGATAGATTCCATTTTCCATTTTTTCTCTTTTCCATTATTCTTTAAGATTTCCTCGCTAGACTTACTCCCTCGTATAAAATGTGAATAAGTAGTCCGAGATCACGAAAGAAGTGAAGAGATAAGCTTGGCTACCGCACCCATTGCGAGCCAACCGTACTCCAAAATTAAGTACACCCGGACTAGTTCTGCATCAAGCCCTGTATGAAGCGAGGTTGCTCTGAGCTTTTTCGACTTCGCAGAGGCCTTTTTTTACAATTGCTGTGTTTCTCACGATCATGAATGGCAAAAAAGAAGTAAACGAGTTCAGCTCGCTGTGCAAAGAAAATTGATGTACATTTCGGTTGGCACACATGAACCGGTTTGGAAGTGCTATTGGCATATTTGATTGACAGACAGAACATCGCGTTTGGATGCGCTTTTGAACAAGACTCCCCTTACTCCAGACTCAGTTCTTTGCAAGAGCCGCCTCTAGATAACTAAGCATTAGCTAGGATGATTGGTTCCACGCTGACGACAATACTGGCATGAGTGCTGCAAATCATGTAATCCAATAAATGACCTTTCAATCAAGGTCTCAAAAAAGTAAATATGTGGCGCATTATGCCTGCATCGAATCATTCATTGGAATAGAAGATAGTCCTTCCACTTACCGGGCGATAGAGGGATGGTAGCAAACGAGTTGAGAAAAAAAAGCCTCAACTTTCTCTTTTTAAATGTCCTGAGTGGATCTCACTGGACATACAGAATCCAATTCCTCTGGAAGTTCGTCGAGTTCCCCACTGTATTTTTCGGTTTTTTTTTTTCGTGAGATTTTCCTCGTAGAAAACCTTCTCTCATTTCATGTGCGGTCCAGCTGGCTCACTTACGATTATTAGGGTTCTGTGTTCACTACTTTTACTAATGTTTTATGCAAATCATCATAGCGCACCTAAGCGTGCAGTAATTGAACAAACAAGTAAATAAGAACCTGATATAAGGCAGTAACGACGAAAGTAGTGGGCTGGCAGTGGTACCTCTCCTTTCGGGATGATTCGGTGCTTGCAGCCATCGGATCACCGCTTCCCATAGACGGTATTCATCTATAAAAGCCTCATAGAAAGCTTAGACACCACGTTTGGAATACTAGGGAAATTTCCTGGATGTGTCGAACAGTAAGGACTTCAGTAGGAATGATTCTTCAAGCCTTTCAGATTGAACTTTTTATTACGTCCATGCCTTATCGTTTCGGCTCGTCTTCGCCTTCGTCAGAGGGGCGTCTTCTCAAGTTTTAGCCTACTTTTCGGTGCTTTCATGCTTCTTCAGCGCTGGCAACATTCTGTAGCGTTGTAAGAAGACATAGTGCTTTGGCACGGGCTAGCTTCCTGAAATGGCTTCCGACATTTGCCAGCCTTGTCAGAAAGAGCCTGAAAGCACGAAAGCGGTAACGTGGCCTTAATAAAGTTTGTTGTCAATTCTTGTGTTGGAGCTCATATTGTTTTGGACTATGCAGGTAGGGACTCGTCAGGATTTTACGCTGACGCATTCGGATTCCCAATACGCGTGTGGTAGCGAAGTATTCAAAAAGGCATGTGGAGACTAGTGGAAGCACCGAGCTTAACAAGATAGCAGCAGAGAAGACAGAAGAATATTTCGAAACCTTTAGTTGAGGTTTTCTTGCAAAAAAACCGCCCCCTTTTCTCTGTTAGCGAGACTTTCGCTATTTTGATTCCAGCAGTCACCTCACTCTCCCCGCACAGTTTCAGACCTTTTTCGGAATAGTGGCTGTGAAACTGTGTATGGGCAGCGTCATGTCGGCAAATAAGAGGCCCTGTTTCCGGCTCCCTACTTCGAGTCGGTAGGGTTGCTCGTATGCGCGACCGCGCGCTATCAAAACACTGAGCTTACTGATTGCGTCGCTCTGTCGAACTCCGTCTCCGTAAGTCATGAATAAAGTTATACGAGACTTGCGACGACGAGCTGGTTGCATTTGAGAATCTCGATCATTTTTGGTCTCGATCCAGCGCCAACCAGCTCTTCTCCCCCATTCCTCGGTGATCAGCAGTTCAAAATCTCGGGCGATTGCTTGAATGCACGCACGAATCAGCAGCTGCAACAATGGATTGAGTCGGGTCTGCCAAAGAGAGCCGTCACGTGTTGTGCACCGTTAACGTTATATAATGTGGTATTTCACGTTGGAACTACTGGACTGCGAATGTCACAGAAGCTTCAAAAAGGCTCTTACGAACCAAGGAGGAGGCTTGGTTATTGTTGGCACAGTTTCAGCAACGGTCAGATCTAATATCCTTATTTAGCCGTATAGTCCGAAAGATTGTCTGAAAAATACATAGTGGGCATAAGCATTCTTATGACTAACCAAAGGTGATAGAGACATGCTCAAGGCTTCAGTTCCACGAAGGTGGATATAAGTGCTCTCACAATTAACGTGTTGAGTTCTGAGGAAGGAAGGCTGTTCACTGCTGAAATATTAATGGGCATGTATCTTAGACTATATCAAGATATAGAGGTGCCTCTATGCAGGTCATGATCCTTCAGAATTGCCGTCTTCGCAAATCGAAAAAAGTAGTGGATTGCCACTGGTACTCTAACACAACACGAATTTTACCCCCCAGAATCTTACCCGGCTCCCGTATTTAGGTACGACTTGAAGTAGACTGGCACTGGCTTGATTAGGCAAAGTAGCGCAAAATTGGATCTTTCTTTAGCAACTGTGCTACTTTCCTCTATTCTAATACAATGTGTCCAGACTAATTTTGAACGCTCCTCCTCGACTAGTGCACAGCCTTCTTGAATGACGTTTTCTGGGACAGCACCTTTCGAGGCAAAGAGCATGGTAAATAGTGATGCCTATTGAAAGGATGAATGGGTAGTGGGGTGTCCATGTAGACGGTAGGAGCGTTATCATCGGCATAGCCAAGAGTGCCTCACAAGCCCCTCCGGCCTCTCGGGCACGCCCACCATCGGCACGTATAGCGGTGCCACGCTATCGCGCTTGAAATAGAACTTTTTCTTCCTGGGGTCCTTTTCTCGGTTTTGACTACTTTTCTATTTTTTATCTGTCCCCATTTGGCACATCAACTTTCACATTTGACCGGTATCACTGACTGCAAGTCAGTGATACCGTCCAAATGTGAAAGTAGATGTGCCAAATGGGGAGAGAAAGTATCTTCAAATGAGAATCTTACATTGTGGCAAGCGAAGTTTTCACTGGAGAGAGAGCCTGATGGCTTATCGGAAAAGACCATTAATTAGCTGAGCTCGATTCCAAAATAGTGCTCTCGTGTCCTGCTACATAGTGGCCCATCGCAGACTTTTTGTTATATTCGAACTATTGGATTCAGCACATTTCAACGGCAGAGTATGGTTTCGGTCGTAGGGAATGGAAGCAGTTCGAGGGCAGAAGTCGTTTCACTGCGAACCCAGCACTTACGATTAGATTGAAAGGAAGTGATGAACTCACTTGGTGATAGGCCTTAGTCGCGTATGAGAACCATATGCTGAACACATCCTTCAACGTGGACGATATGCGAAAGATTTCAAGATATGGCCGAAATTCGATGCAGACCTGAAGAGAGAATGACTTGTGCTAATTTTTTCTCCACCTTAGTTGTTGTCCACTCTTCAAATGATTATAGGTGTTGCCCCTGCTGGAACGCAAAAATTACCACAGATTGAACAGCTAGAAGGTGCTCTGAAAAAACGTGACAGCTGATCCAACCCCGTACTACTTTTTCACATCTTGTCTTTCATAGCCCTTCACCTTGTCACATTCACTGAAACTAGACGGCGAGTCCAGAAAAAACCCGCGAGTGGCATTTGTCATCACAGGATTTTCCGAAAGAGAAATCGGCTCACGACCTCACGATCATCCTTGTGCCATGATTCGGCAGAACTATTAGCATGAGGCTGTGCAGGACGCTTCTGCACATTTG